AAAATAATTCTTCTCTCAAGTTCACCCAGGATCAAATGAATAATTAGTTGTGAACATATTGTGTTAGTTTGCTTTATAAAGATGTATTAAAGATGATTTTACCACATTTAGAATATAATTGTCTAACAATGCCAGATTGGTCCAACCAGGAAAAGGTACACATAGATTATGGAATCTATCCTTTGGCCATTATCATGGTTCAAACCACCCAAGAGTCTTCATAACACGACCCCAGGCATAACTTATATTTGGTTTCTACCTAAATAAACCAAGTCTTTCTTTTTTAATCCACATGCTGTGATATGCCCTTTCCATGAAAATTGGAAGACAGCAAGAAATATGATGGAAAAAGAGAGTCCTGGGGTGCCAATAAAACTGGGTGTTAGTTTTCCAGGCATGCATTTCTATATACATTCTCCCCTAGGCCAGTGATAGCTTTATCCTGAAAGAGTCATACTACTCTTCCTTCTCCCTGTAATCTAAGGTCTGACAAGTGGGAATGGGCAGGTTTATGAACCCAGAACAGAGCCACACTAACAGGCCCTCTGGTCATTGAAATCACAACCTTTACCCCATTGCCCCAGACTGTAATCAACCAAGTGCAGGAACTATTTCCTCTGGCCTAAGGAACAGAGATATCAAGGATAGGGGTATTCTTGATAGACTGAGCAAGCTCTCCAAGCAGTGTTGGCTTTTTCAGAAAGCCCATGCGTGAGTAGACACCATGGCTTGACACTCCCAACTGGAAATGTATACTCAGAAAGCCTTTCGAGGTCTCTCCCTGTTTTCTCTCTCCTGCATTCATTATTTTGTTTCCTTTAGGTTTGATTAAATGCCCTGCTCTGTTACCAGAACAAAATTAATGATTCAAGTGTACAAGCAACCAAATTAATCTCTCTTGACCTTTCTAATATGAAGTGTAATCTTTTGTGGCTGTGAAAAAGAGAACTTCATATAAACTGAGGTTAAGCATGATTAAAGAATTTCTGTGTAAAGTGAAACTATCCTGCACATTATTTTCCTGGTTAAAGGTTTTATGATTTAGGAAATACTACTACAGACATTTTTTTTTATTTCCATTTTTAAAGGTGATTTTGGAGCCATTAGGGTTTGGAAGAGGGAGAATCAAAGCGTGCACACAAGCAAGTACACACCTGAAAAATGGAAATTGAGATTTTACTTTTAGTTCCTTTTCATGTATAAATTTTCACCACAAGAGAAATACTATGAACCAGAGCAGCTACAGGTTTTACATACTTGGTTAATTAGCAATTCTTACCAAACTGAGTATATCATTTCTCTTTAGAATCCTACATGGCCTCGATTAGACATATTTACGGGAAAAGTCAATGGGTAAGGCATTAGAGGCCAACCTCAGAGTCAGAATTGAGCAACCGTAGACCTTAGAGAAGTGCTTTATTAGCCAAGAATTGGTTGGTTATTGATCCTGGTCTGTGTCTCTGGTCACAATAGCACTTACCCTAATTTTTCTAGTGTAAATATAAGTAAATTTGAATGGGTGTTGCTGAAAACAATCTGTAAATCTACATTTTGTGGTTGGGGTTGTAATTGTAGTTACTGGAAGGTTCAATATCTGGGGCATGTCGAGGAGACAAGGCTGTGGCCTGGCACCCTGCTCTCTGCAAATACCTCCTGAAGCACTTTCTCAAGGGCTATTAAAGCAACTCTGCCTCTCTCTGATCAGAAATGCAGAAACCACATGGTACTCAGCCACAAGGAAACTGGGGGCAGGGCATGAACATGGTCATAAGCAATGTTGTGCATGTAACTTAGACTTCTCTCTCTCTCTTTTTTTTTTTTCCTCCCTGAGGTCAACCAAGCAATTAAAGAAGAATGATAAGAACAGTTTTCCTCTTTTCCTGAAGGTAAACAATGATAGATTCACATTTGTTGCAACGTTATCATTCCCACTGCCTTTGACACTTCCTTTCCCTTCCTGTGTCTGTCTCTGCCCCATCTCATATTTTATATGAGACTTTCCAACAGAAATTGTATAATCACCATTGAAGTCCTTCTCATCGGACTGGGAAACAGCACCCCTTAACAGAAGATGCTACCGGGTTAATGAGGGTTAATGGGCATTGTATTTCACTTGGATATTGCCAAGAAATTTTGAGTTTGAAGGGAATAAGGTGGGAAATTACTTCACTGATGATGACACCAGTACCAATTAAGTATTGAAAGATATCTCACTGTTGGAACTCCATGTTTAAAATACGAAGTTTGCAAGTTCAACTATTTCACTGGGTTACTGAGGTATCAAAACATTCCTTTCTTCCTAAGAATTCCATACCTTAAACTTACATAAAGAGGTTATAAGAGAATCATTTCTACAAAAGGAAAACAAATAAGCTTGTGAAAAAAGAAAGTGAATTTGGAATGTGTGACTAACACCTGCACACACACCCACATCCTCACTACGATATGACAGAAATCTTCAGAAGAGGCATAGAGTGGTGGAGAAGGGTCTTGTGGATCCTCTAGAGCATCCAGGGAGCAACTTTCTGGTTGGAGAGTCCACTTGGACTTGGATTAAGTAAGTTATTTGTGCTTACTGGGGGCAAGCTATTGAACAGTAAGCCATATTTTCTTCTCATAGGCCCTTCTGTTTGGGGGCTGTTATCTCTAGCTTCAATTCCTCTCCATTGTTTAGCCCCAGGCACAGTGACTTCATTATACAGTGCAAAACCTCTTTTTTCTGTTCATGCCACAGTGCCCTCCCACATGCTATTCCCTACACCTAGCACACCACTCCCTCCTCCTTCTCTACCTGGCAATTCTGTATACTCTGGAGACTCTGAACAAATGTTACTTCCTCTGAAAAGCACTTTATGAACACCACACCCTGTTCTATCTTCATTTAGGAACATGTGCTGAAATGCAGCCACACAAGAGCATCTCAGTTCTTATAAACTGGGAGATCTCTGGGAGTTGGGAGTGTGTTATATCATTGTCTTTAAAGAGCAACTATCATAGTGTTTGGCATATAATCACTATAATTAATAAGTAATGATAGACAAATGAATGAGTGCAATGAAATGTCTTGCTAGGCAAATCCACCAGCCTACAGTGGAATTTGAAATTTGGAATTTGAATTTTGAAATTTGGCACAGAAGAGCCAGGTAAATGATCTAAATCAGTAGAGTGACTCAGGAGTAGCATTTATCTTGATAAAGTGAGATAATATATATGGGATAACACATACCCAGTGTTGTAGAGCCTTCCACTTTTCTTTTCTTTTTTTTATTTTTTAAAGATTTTATTTATTTATCCATGAGAGACGCAGAGAGAGAGAGAGGCAGAGACACAGGCTGAGGGAGAAGCAGGCTCCATGCAGGGAGCCTGATGTGGAACTTGATCCCAGCACTCCAGGATCATGCCTTGGGTCAAAGGCAGGCCTTAAGCTGCTGAGCTACTCAGGGATCCCCACTTTTCAAGATAAAGCAGAAATTTGTATTTTTATTTGCAATCAACCAGTTTTGTGAAATATTGGAAATTTATCCTATTTTATGTATAATGGCCCACATTTTCCCAGGTGGAAAAAAAAAAAACACTTTCACAAGAAAATCCTAATATGAACTTTGCCTGGCTGTGTTTCTCTATCAGAGTAAGATGTTAGATCCATCAGAAAATAATGACGTGGGCAAGACATGGAGACTTCAGGACTTGAGAACTAAATGTTCTTACAGAGTTGGTTAATTGCTCATGAATGGAGTCAACTACTTGATCCGGGAATTCATTTTTCTTAAATCCATGGCAATTAGGAAAGTATAATGCCCAATGTTCAGAACAGCCTCCATTGGTAGTCAACATCTGGGAATCATTATCAGTGATATCACAGTGAAGCAAAAAGAGGTAGCAAGGTAGGGATCCAGGACATAGTCATCATTAGAAATATGTGTTAGCAAGAGAGATTTATTTGAAGATCATGAGATTGTCTGTTTCTATAGAATCTACCAGAAGTTGCTAGAATTAATAAGTGCATTAGACAAAGGCATGGCATGCAAAATCAATACAGAAAAATCAATTATATGTCTACACACTAGCAACCAAAGTTTGAACGCCAACATTTGCAATAAAAAATAGGGGATTGTCCTTGTCCGGTTGGCTTTTCCATTCTGGAACAAAGTCCTTGAGAACGGCATGTGGGTCAGCTGGCTGCACGTGGGTGTAGTGGACCCAGGGAGTAATCCCGTCGACCTTGAGAGCGGTGGGAATGGTCAGGATCACGTTGTAAGGATGTAAGGTCCCTTGCAGCGAGGTTGAAGTGTCTGGTGTTGGTATCTCCGCACGTACACCCAGTCACCTGGCCAATATCGATGGGGGTCCGGGGGTGGCCCAGTCTCGTAGAGGGCCCTCAGCTTAGGCCACACCTGCTCATGGGTTCCTTGTAACATTTGGAGGGAGAAAAGAAGTCGGTGATCATTAAATTCAGCGAGCAACTCAGGTTTTATATTGGGGATAGCAGGTGGAGGAAGACCAACATGATCTCGTAGGGAGTCAGTCCCATCTTAGATGCGGAGTTTCTTACCCTATATAGGGCAAAGGGGAGGAGTCACCCAGTCCCCGCCAGTCTCCAGGGCTAATTTAGTTAAGGTTCTGTTCATCCTCTCTACCTGTCCTGAGCTCTGGGGCCTATGTGCACAATGTAATTTCCAATCTGCCCCAAGTACTAGTGCCACTCCCTGTGTTACCTTAGAGACAACCCTGGGCCGTTGTCTCACCCAATCCTAACAGGAAAACCATACCTCAGTGCGATGTCTTCCAGCAGTTTCTTGGTCACCGTCTGTGCCGTTTCACGTTTGGTGGGAAATGCCTCTGCCCATCTTGAAAAAGTATCTACAAACACTAGTAAATACTTGTGCCCATATTTTCCAGGTTTTACCTCAGTGAAGTCCACTTCCCAGTGGGTAACGCCAGGTGCCCGGGTTAGATCCATGGCCGGTGGCATTAGTTAACTGGCATGTGTGGCAGCTCACCACAATCTGCTCCATTTTTGCTCCAGAGTCTTTAATGGTGATCTTTGCATGTCCTATGAGGTCTTCCATCTTCCTCGTTCCCATGTGAGTGCTCCGATGCATTTTGGATAGGCCTCGCCGTCCTAGTTCCTCTGGCAGGATGATGCTGGAGTCTGCGGCCCTCCACCAGCCACGCAAGCGCTGGGTCATAGGCAAGCGTTTGATCCAGTGTAAGTCAGCATCAGTGTGGTTGGGGGTGTCTGGCAGGGTCTGTGCCCCCGGATCCGGTCTCCATTTCCATGGTTACAGCTGCCCCCGTGTATCGATTCCTTCTCAGACGAAACTGCTGCCGTCCGTGTACCGGGTGGCGTCCGCATTCTGCAGTGGCTGGTCCTGGAGATCAGCTCTGATTCCGAGCGCCTGTGCCAAAATTTCTTGACAGTCATGCAGGGGGGGGGTCCCAGTCTGGCCTAGGGAGACGAGAGGCATGGGGTATTGGCAGACCCTGACTGCGCCGTTCTCACTTATTTCCCACCTCCAAGACTCCCTAGTCTGAGGTTGTCCTTCAAAATAGAAAGGAATGAGACTTAGTCTTCTTACAACAAAGGGTGGTGGTGGTGGGGGGGGTATGTGCTGCCTTAAACGTACGTAGGATGTTGGTTCTTCGCTGGAATGTAAATGGGAGCGAGAACAGCAACAAGGTTGGTTAAAACCCTGGTTTAATCATTCCACCTGGCTCACTCTGAGAGCAACCTGGACCCATGATTGGGTCCTTCCTTAGGTTCCTCTGAGAGGGGGAAATGTGGAGGCCGAGAAAATTAAGGCCATTCCACTTTAAGTTCAGCGTTAGCACAAGTACAGCCATCCCAGGCCCCTGTGAATAAGAGCTGAACTTTACCTTACTTCAGTTACAGGAAGAAAACAGCTTACAGCTTAATGTCCTAGAAAGCCCCTATTAGAATGAGAACAGAGCCCAAGCCAGTGGCAGGAAGCCCCTATTACAATAAGAACAGAGCTCAATGCCCTTTAAAGCCCCATATCAGAATGTAAACAGAACTTGAGGAATTGCTCCACCCCCTCTGGAGGTCCCCTAGACCAGCCCTTAAAACTAAGCTGAAACCTAACTCGGGGTCCAAGTCCCTGCTCCACTGTGTCCGGTACACTTGGACCCAAGCTCGAGCTTGTAAATAAACCCTTGTGTGTTTGCAAAAAAAAAAAAAAAAAAAAAAAAAAGAAAGAAAGAAAAAGAAATAAAAAATATAATTTAAATTTAAAATATTATCAAAATATGAAGTATTTGGGAAGCAATCTGAAAGAAAAAAAAAGATGGATAAGACCTAAAAATCACAAAATATTGCTGAGAGAAACTAAAGAAGAACTAAAGAAGTTCTTCATTTAGAAGAACTAAATGAAACAAAATATACACTGCGTTCATAAGTCAAAGACTCAAGATTGTTAAGATGTCAATACTCCTCATATTGGTCTTTTTAACAAAAAGCGTTTTATGGAGATAGAATTCATGTATACACCATCTACCCATTAAATTGTACAATTAAATGGTTTTAGTATATTTATAGATTGTACCACCATCATCACAATCTAATTTCTAAATACTGCACCCCACCAAAAGAAACTCTGCTCATTTGCAATCACTCCTTTCTTCCCTCCAATCATATAACATTGCACTTAGTACCTTTTCAAGGCTTATCCCCATTATGCATGTCACAGTGCCCCATTCCATTTTATAGCTGAATGATATTCCATTGTGTGAATATGCCACATTTCATTTATCTCCCTAAGTTATCTTGGACTCCAAACAGTCTAAATGAAAATGCCGTTTTTAAAAAGATTTTATTTATTCATTTATTTGAGAGAGAGAGCTCTTGAGAGAGACAGAACACAAGCAGGGGAGGGACAGAGGAAGAGGGAGAAGCAGGTTCCCTGAACAGGGAGCCTGACATGGGACTCGATCCCAGGACCTTGGGATCATGATCTGAGCCCAAGGCAGATGCTTAACTGGCTGAGCCACCCAGATGCCCTGAAAATGCCATTTATTTTGTAGAAACTGACAAGTCGATTCTAAAATACTTAGGGAATTCAAAGGATCTGCAATAGCCAAGACAACTTTAAAAAAGAAGAAAGTTTAAAAACTGTAGCCAACTATCAAGACAATGTAACATTGATGTCAAGATTGATAAATAGATTTGTGGAAAAGAGTAGAGAGTCCTTATATGAATCCACACATATATGAACAACTAATTTTTGACTAACACACAAAGGCAATTCATTGGCGAAAAGAGTCTTTTCAGTAAATGGTGTTAGAACAATTGCATAGCTGAGAGAAAAATAAAAAAATAAAATAGCAAATAAAAAATACTTCAATGCATACCTTATACCATATATAAAAATTAACTCAAAATGGGCCATACATAAAAACGTGAAATATGAAGCCATACCATTTATAAAGTAAGACTAAGAAAATTCTGGAGTTAATCGTAAGTTTGGTAAAAAATATTTTACATACAACACTTAAAGCCCAATCCATTAAAGAAAAAAAAAATTTAAACTTCGTTAAAAGTACAAACCTCAGCTTCTCAAAAAAAATTATTAAGAGAATGAATACAGTGGAATATTACTCAGCCATTAGAAACAACAAATACCCACCATTTGCTTCGATGTGGATGGAACTGGAGGGTATTATGCTGAGTGAAATAAGTCAATTGGAAAAGGACAAACATTATATGGTCTCATTCATTTGGAGAATGTAAAAATTAGTGAAAGGGAATAAAGGGAAAGGAGAGAAAATGAGTGAAAATATCAATGAGGGTGACAAAACATGAGAGACACCTAACTCTGGGAAATGAACATGGGGTAGTGGAAAGGGAGGTGGGCAGGGGTTTGGGGTGACTGAGTGATGGGCACTGAGGGGGGCACTTGGTGGGATGAGCACTGGGTGTTAAATATATAATAGGAAATATATATAAGGAACTCTCAAAATACCATAATAAGGAAACAAACAACCTCAACCCAATAAAATGGGCAAATGATTTGGACAAACATTTCATCAAAGAAGACATAAAGATAGCACATAAGCCCTTGAAAAAATGCTCAACATCTCTAGTCACTAGGGAGATGCAAATTAAAACCACAAGAAACTGTTATATACCTATTAGAACAAGTGCTGCTAAAAAGTTGGAGAAATTGGAACTCTCATATACTTCTGGTGGCAAAATAAATTTTACAACCACTTTGGAAACCAATGTTGTGTTTGAGGAAGGTTTCTCAGAAGGAAAGACATGGTGGCTGAACCATGTATGTATCCAAGCCATGATACCCCCTCCATGATTGCTCCCTCTCACTTCCATCCCTATGACTCTTACTGATCTGTGTCAGATGTGTCATGTCTTTCAACTCCATCCTGGTATGTTTACACTTGATCCCATCCACACTGACCTTAGTACAGTTACTCCTCAGCCGCCTGGACCTTCCACTAGACAGGCAGACACACACACACACACACACACACACACACACACACACACCCCTACTCATTATGTCTACACTGTGTGAACATTTGCAAAATCACTCACTCATTGCACATGCTATAGTTGAGCTATAAGATTCTTCTATTATTACTTGTCCCTGAAGAGTTCAGCACCCATGAATAATACCCTCTAGAGTGGGGCAGACCTAATGAAGCCATTCTGGTTTGAGAAACAGATTAAATACAGCCCATGTCCTTTAGAATTAACATTTCATCTCTTGTATAGCATACCTGTCATTTAATGAGGGACCCTAAAACTTTTGCAGCTCCCTACAAAAATATAGATTCTAAGGAATCTATTTACAAATATATCAGCATAACATTGATTATCATATGGTTCAAAGTATCAAAAATTATTAGAGCAACTTAAATATTCATCAACAGAGGAATAGTTAAATGAATTATGCTATATCCATCCACTGGCATACCATACAGACATTAAAACAAAATGATCTAAATTTAGTTTATTGCAGAGAACAATCCCTGTAATACATATACATGTATATGTACTTATATATATGGAATGATCTTATTCTCCACCACACCTAGTATATGTGTATACACATTTGACTTTAGTATCTCTGGATGGTGGGATTACAGGTGATTTTTACTTTCTTTTATATGTATTTATTGTATTATTTCTGAATTTCTTGCAGAAAGTGGGCCTTGCTTCTTATAATCAGAAATAATAATTCTTTCCACATGGGCAAAAAAAAAAAAATGCCATTCACATCTTAACATTGGTTTTGGCTGTAGGCCAGGAAGTCCGTTCTCAGGATGTGGGGAGGGGGAATGGATCTTCCCTGTGCAGCTGATGATTATGATCCCTGGCCCCCTCTTTGATTAACAGTGTGAGCAGCTGATGAATTTAGCATGTGCCATTTCAAACACAGGTCTAGAGCAGCCTTTAAACTAACTCAAAAAGATGTTCAGATTTATCAAAATACTATTTAATATCCAAAATGTGCCTTTGCTCCTACTTATTACCTACTTGTTTTTCAGAGCTCACACCAAGTAAAGGAAATTCATATTTAAAAACCCATAATGCAAATCAGTGATATTGTATATGATGTAATGTATAATAAAGGGAAAAAAGACCTAACCATGGCTTAGCTGCTGAGGGCTGCCATAATAAATTAAAACAGACTTGGTGGCTTTTATTTATTTTTTTAAGATTTAATCTATTTATTCTTGAGAGACAGAGAGAGAGAGGCAGAGACACAGGCAGAGGGAGAAGCAGGCTCCGTGCAGGGAGTCCGACATGGGACTCCATCCCGGGTCTCCAGGATCAGGTCCTGGGCTGAAGGCGGCGCTAAACCACTGAGCTACCGGGGCTGCCCAACTAGGTGGCTTTAAAAAAAAACAAAAACAAAAACAAAACAAAAAACAGAAATACATTGTCTCACAGTTCTTGGGCTGGAAGTCTGAAATCAAGGTGTTAGTTGTTTGGTTCTTTCTGAGTGTTTATCCCATTCCTCACTCCTAGCTTCTGGTGACAGCCGGCCGTTCTTGGCCTTCCTTGGCTTGGAGATGTGTCCTTCCAATCTCTCTTCCATCTTCACATACCTTCCCTATGTCT